GAAGATTTGGAGGGTTATGGATTCTTCCGACCACTGTGGTGTCCTTTAGCAGGACCACAACCGCCTATTCCGGTGGTCTGCAGAAGTTGACCTACCAGTCAACCCGGCCAAGTCCTCCTTTATGAGCTTGAGGATGGGTGGTAATGGGCACACACGGACGCCGGTACAAACTAGTGGTAGCTGATTTAAAGCGCATCGTTCACACACCATGCTTCGAGTGTCGAGTGGTGAAATATTGGAACAAGTTTCCGGAGACGCTAGTCGAGGCGAAATCGGTTTCAGAATTTAAGAAATTCCTCGATGCCCAGTCTGTGAACTACAGTTATAAGGAGCGTCTCGCATCCGGATAAGATGTAGTGTAGCTGCAATAGGCTGCCACCGCGCAGGAATCATGGACGTGATTCCGCGCATGTGCTCGACCCACCTACGATGCAGCAACACAGATTTGTATCTTCTCGTTCTCTAGTCTGTATTCAGTATGCATGGACCGCCAAATAGCGCTGTCACCGCATCTTTCCCGACATACCCCCCGAAATGGGTGCAATTAGAATATTGAAATGTCTGAAGTATGAGCAACTGTGTGAACAACGAGGCAACACATGCAGTAAGCCCAGTAAACAAAAAGTGATCAAGGTAAGTTTATAATGAACTAATGTTGAAATCAGGTGGTGTTGGGAAGAAATGGCAGTGAAGCACCGACAATAGCGTGAGCACATTAGGAACGCCATCGCCCGAGTGAAAGCAAAAGGAGTAATGCAAAGTATAAATAAACAAGTGATCGATAAACGCAGGATGATAGTAGCTTATCAACCAGGCGGTACTGAAACAAACGCGGCCACCTGCGTTGCAGTTGAACCGGTAACGGGATCACGAAGATTTATCGACGCAGAAGTATCTAAATGAAAGCGCGTCCAAAAAAGTTTGATCCCAGTGTTATCCCACAATCTGTGCCGTATCTGCGGCTGCGCAGTAATGCACCAGCTACGCAGTTGCGATATACTCATGAACGTGAATTCGCGCTGTAATACTTACGATCATCTTAATGTGACATATACAGTTTGGATGCATAAGGCTCCGAGACTAATGGTTCCAAAAAACCGCTACCCAACATACACACGAGTGGTCTTGAAACATCCCAGCTATCAAGTAACCAATAATGATCGCGTGGGAGAGAAGCGTCGGAACCGCGGTTCTGGTGTGTATTGTTAACGTCTCTTAAACCAGTACTTAGGGAAAGAGGATGTGCAGTCCACTTGACAACAATCCCCTGCTGGAGTAGACCACGACCTAGTCTCCGTACCGTAGGTACACGTCTCTCGTAAGTAGATATCAGTGATGCATTCATTGAAGTAGCACAGCTCGGTTGAAAAGCGATCGTTCTGCCTAATTTGAAGCGGATATGAGGTGGATGAGTAAAGATTTGAGGGTTAAGGCCCAAGTCACTTATGATTCTTCTTCATGCGGATGCGCCCCGTGGCTTTTCGCAGTTAGGAATATGAATTGCTTATCAATAACATAGGCTCCCGATCGATGTCTCACCGTGACCACAACGCACATAATATTTCTACTATTTGCATACTCAACAGCCAGCGATTACTTCCGCCCGTAGCAATGTTGCGTGATCAGCAAAAGTTCGTCGAGTGTTAATCAGTCGCGCAGAATTTTGATTGTAATTATGAGAATCCTAAGTGAATGCAGGAGTTTTAGAGAAAGGTCTTCGGAACCGGACAAGCATAGGACTAATGTTTCGTCTTGTTGGGAGTAGTCTGCGGAATCATATTGCATTCTGACTCCTGACATTATTCTTACGGTCCGGCGATAAGAGCCACTGAACCAAGCGTGACGTCATTGGGTCGCTATGACTCTTCACCAGCTGCGATGTCTAGTTATCGAAGCTGTGAACAGGAAACAAGCGTGGATTAATGGGGACGAAAATGCAACCAAGATTCACTCTGACTCCCTTTCAAAACAGCCTCGCAACCGGAAATAGACAGTGAATGTTTTCTGTATGAAAACCAAACCTGACGGATATTGCTTACTAGGAACAAGCAGTGCTAACGAACTTGTATTTTGTATATGAGCGTGTAGCTTTAGACACGCTCGATCTTTGGCATTAACTGTGAAGTAGCCTCAGAGGACAGAAATCGTGGTGGCAACGGCGAACTGGTTACTAACATGAGTTGGATGTGCCAAAAATTCGGTCTAGCAAATAACCGGTAGCACCGAACAAAATGTGATTTCTAAACAACCGATAGCATCGTTTGGTACATAACAGGCAAACTGTGTTTGTGTGTTCGAGGAAAGTATAAGGCTTGAGAAGTTGCTGCTCATCTTCAAGTGTGTTGCCACAGGAAAAATGAAGACAATCTTCGCAAACGGATGACGCTAACCGTGGCATGGTGGTAATGCACAGAGTGAGAAACAATAAGTTCTCCTTAGAATTCCGAACAGGGAGATCGGAAGACGTAGATTGTAAGATGACGTCGACACTTCGTTCATTCTTATCAAGCACAAAACATGCAACAATGAAATTCAAAGAAACAAGCACAATGTCAAAGATATCACAAACAGTCAAGCATTCGCGTAGCCAAGGTAGACCACAGTCAGCTGTTTTTAAACGCATAGCGGCGGTCGCTCGCGATCGATAACTGGTAGCTTAAGCATGTGAGGTCGCCGATCGCACAATAAACCAGTGAATGACTCATCAGGATTGACTAGTAACCCGGTGGTAAGCAGGTGCTTTGTGGCTATCGAAGTAGCTCCCGATTCAACTGATTCCGTCGCCACAGGCCGCATCCATCTGCGTAGCCACGTGGGGCTGTGATCACTGATTTTGACACCTAGGGTTCCGTCAGTGAGACTAACGTGGCTACCTCCACAGCTACAGGTGAATTTGTACAGGCAATGGTACGTGCATTGCCTTGTCGTCGGTGTATCGTCGAGGTGAGCAGTCGCCGTTCCGCCGCATTGTACGCTCTGTTGAGTGAAGCGCTTATACATTTCTCGGTGACGTTCATAACGTGGTCACCTTTGAAATGCGATCTGTTCTCATGATCGTGATGAAGTTGGTGGCCTTGCGAGTGAACAGGCGACAAAATGAAATAATCTGAGCATAGAGTTTTGATACTATTTGGGGCTTACCCAACCTGGTGAAGTCATGCGGTAGTTGGTAACGGCAGAACATTGTCAAAGAGCCGGAATATAAAAACAAGGAAACAGGCTTTCAAAGAAGGGAGGATGAGCAGCGAGGCAATAGCAGAGACGAAACAAGAATTCAGAAAACAGATGAATAACTTATCCGATGGAGTTGGTGTAACACTTCCTCTGGCCTGGAATGCTAACAGCCTCTATGTGGAGATGAATATCGGCAACAATATGACTAGTCGCTTGCTAATTCGATGGAACGATTTACGATTCCAGTTGTTGAACTCATTAGGGTATGCTCTACGTCATACTTGATAAGGTGTGTACCTGAGAGAATGAAACTGTTCAAAAATGGCTTGCGATTCCAGATATTCACACGTTCTCGGAGAAAGAAACCGGACGTAATGAAAGGTGATTTACAGTTCAGCTTCGGACACTGCTGCGAATTGTGGTGATCACTTTTATGCAGCAAACAGGCCAAATACGCAATGGGAGTGCCAACGTTTACGACGCAAAAGAATTCACCTGGGCGACTGTCGGCTTAAACATAGTCGGACAATAAACGCGCAGGATTCACCTGATAGCTGCAGTGCCGACTGAGACACCAAAAATTCGGAACATGTACGAGGCGCGTGGGCTGTCTAGTAAAATCTGGAACGTAAATGTAAGGGACAAGGTGTCCCCTGTTGGTAGAAAGAAGTCCGTTCAAGTATCGAAAGGCAGAGGAGACAGAGGAATCACATCAAAGCCAGAGAGGAAAAACAAAACAAAAGCAATGCGTCGGCACTTAGTACTGATACTCCGCCGACACATAACTAAGTATGAGGGACGATCCTTGTGAAGGAAAATTGCGGCATAGTTGCCGAAGTATTTCTCGCATCCAGCTAATGTGTAGTATGAATGAAAGTGAAGGAAAAAAGTCATAGGTAATGGGGCGACTAAAAAGCAGACCCTAGCGAACTAAGAAAGCATGCATGACCAAGGTGCCCATATCCTAAGAGCGCTACATAGTCGCAATTACTTTGTTATTGTGTGTGAGATGGTATTCCTGTGAATTACATTCCGCTGAATCATAAATGATCCTAACACACAGGTAACATAAAAAAGACATAAATGTGACATATGCTAACTCGACCCACAGTTCACATCCCTCTGCGTGCGTGCTTGTGTCAGTTCCAGACATTTGATGTATCCTTGCTGAATCATAATATTGAACGTACGGCGCGATCATGTGATAATTTGTCTAACTTCAGATAGAAGTCTCTACGACCCAACCAATTTAGGCTCGCTCGGTGCATACCCAATTGACATGCGACTAATGCTGCGTTCGCTTGGTTATTGCGTTTTGAATTTGCTCCTATTTTTTTAAGTTCACCAATAACTGATTCCGCCACGAATTCTGAAGCGTCTCACTATCTGCAACATGTACAGTAAAGATCCATTATTTCGATTACACCACTATACTTATGACAGATAAGTCGCCGTGGGTATCGATTGCAAGTCATCTGCAATACTATGAGCCAAGAATACAGTAGGCCGCATAGGCTCCGACCTGGAAGGCTAGATGCACCAGTAGCCCTCAGACGAGTGGCCATTGACTTCATTTCCCGATACTAGGTTGAGGGTCAACACATTCGAAGCTTGGTTAATATCAGTGAAGCTGGTGAACAAAAACAGGCCCTCCTCATTGGGCTGCGGATGAACATACGTGACATCGAGAAGAATTCATCCCCAAAAGCGGATCATCATAATGCATGACAAGGTAAGGAAAGAATGTTAGAAAAATATTAAATAATGCGTAGATTTTGGACTTGATGCAGGAGTATTGCAAGGAGACATGATTCAAAAACATTCACCTGGTAAAGGTTCACCGGTTCGAGCAGCTCTCCAGTGTTCTACCATGTTTGATTCCAAATCAGGGGCAAAAGTACGAACAAAATCGACCGGATCAACGGCAGGGATGGGATACCGGCCAATGGCTAGCTCCATGAGAGTTAAGCCGAGACTCCAGATATCACTTGGCGAACCGAACGGCTCACCTAAAAACAATTATGACACTGTGGGTAAACACAACTCAGAAGGTGGGGTGCGAGAGAGAAACGGACTAAAATACTACACGGCACGAGCAAGAAAGTGTCAATCAGAGTCAAGCACACAATGGTCGAATATGAAGTGCATTCAGCCAACTAACACGAGAGTGCTCCAAGAAGACCATCAAACTGATCGGTTTTATCGATTCCCTATGGTAACACAAGCTGTGCAAATGCGGGAGAGATCCGCCTACGGTCAAGTTAAACTGTTTATATTTGAGTGATTTATCCTGATGCAGGACATACAGTGCAATAAGTCGGGTAATACATCGGTGATAGATACACTAAGGTATGTGGCACATATCGGACCCATAGAAAGTGTCAACAAAACCCCAGTACTTTGCAGTGATGGTCTGCTTACAAGCAACCACAGTATGGTGGCTGCGATAACACGAGGGTAGGCAGGTTGGGCAGGACAGCGGACTCGAACTTCGGCCGTAGTGGTGGTAATTTAAAGGTTTGGATCATCAAGCCACAGATTGAGATAATCGACCTGACCAGACTGATCACATCGCGCAAAAGATCAATAGCATGGATACATTGTCCTATGCAAAATCGTACACCAAGGTTAAAGAAATTCGAGTGGGATGGAACTGCTGTGTAATGAAGAACCTTTAGGATCAATAGATCACACGCAATACAGTGCAGCTGTATATTAGTTTGTTGAGAAGATACTATTTATCGCGTGTAGTCAAGTAGCGCGTGAAACAAACCATTTCAAGTAGGTGACCACAAAGAAACACCGCCAATGCACCAGAACGAACAACAAACGTGTCCCAGGGGAACGTGAAGTGAGTTCCCTCTAGGTGGCGCACGGTGGATGAGAAAAGTAGCATAAACTGATGTGCTGCAAGTAGTGACAAGTGAATGACAAGAGGGATCATGTGCAAGGCAATAGAGACGAGTGCCTGAAGTAACTCAGTCATTAGTGGTAATCAGTCAAAGCCTACTGTACACCACCACCCAAGTTAGTTGCATAGAAGAGGGCTTACTTTCGAGCGACAGGGAATAAGTTGACTGTTTAAGCAGAAGCATTGTTACTCAGGAGGCCAACTCTGTCCTTGCATGGTAATAACATGAAGGGGAGTGCATAGTTATCCACATTACACCACAACTAGTCAGGCATATTCTTGGTAACTGTATGGTCCACAGTCTAAAGCGCCCATTTGTAAAGTTGATGCTTATCTCTATGGATATTTAGTGACTGCCCGGGTAGGTCTAGTAAGGATTAAGACCATCCAAATAGACTCGCTAACAGATAAACCGAAGTCACCCGCCAACTTTGACAGAAGAGCAGCATGGTAATAGACTGATGATGATTGTAAACCAGTGGCGTCGAAAACAAACACTATAAATACACGTTTACCTCGACAATACCTACAATATGTTGGGTAAGAGCTGAACTCCTCCCAAACCAGGTAACCGCATGAGAAATACAAGCGAATGATGTGGAAGTGATAGGGATTGAAGAAACTTTCTTGAAGGTTGACAGGTGACTAGAGAAACCGCTGAATCCAAGTGGAGACCAAAGGTCTGTGGGTTATTAACAGAACCCTATGACGAATTCGCCTCTGCAATTCGCTAAGGGGTGGGATTGATAGGAAAATACGGGTGCACGGTACAAGACAGAAGAGATTTGATACGTCGGTGTCCATAAAGTGAGATAGGGATAGGGTAACGGAAAGAGCGCAAGAAATACATATACCAACTCACCGGTCAATCTTTCAGGAGCCATATACGTACGCATACCAATAAAAGCACTGGCCAGAGCTTCGGCCAGCTGTAAGCTGACAACAAAATCACACAGTTTCACGAAACCGCCTCGGTTGACCAAAATGTTGGACGGTTTTAGGTTGCTATGCACAATGAAAAACGAATCACAGATAGTTGAAGATGAAATTAAAAAATGGACGATTAAATGTGCAGAAAAGCATGTGTGCTGAATGGAAGAAAAACCCGACAGTGTTCAGATTGGTAGCTTCCGGTATGGGTACTAATTGTAACCCAAATGTACACACAGTCAGTTGCATCATGTAAAACGACATGCCAGAAGGGTGGTTCCAACGTATGACTAACACTTCGATTGCAATCGCATTTTTGTAAACTGCACAGGTAGAAATGTGTGGGAGATTAGTAACTGACCCGCCGTGGCAAGATTCTAGAAGTGCATATTTTACGTTACCGAAGGGGATCCGCCGTGCAGTTGTTCGGGTGTCTCACATGCTTGTCGCGAAGTCGTGACCTCATCCGGTCTGGGTTCGGTCGACTCATCAATGTCCCATCCCGCGTACACCAGTACATTGTATTGGTGCCTCGGTACTGATATCCACCGAGTGACATCAGGAAATACTATCCACCAAAGGTCCTGAGACACAATCCCGGCAAATAGTTACACTGCGTAGAACTGAGTGTGGTACTGATCACAATTTGGTGCGGACCAAATGGTACATATATTTTCGTCAATATATGTATTGCACTTCTGCCGACGGAAATATAAGGTTCTTTCCTTAGGTACTGCTATGAAGAGGATAGAAGTGGAGGTGATGGTTACCTGCCTTGTTGTTGTCGAATCCGTAGTCTCAGTGAGGGATCTGTGGCTCAACATCCGTGAACAGGTGACTGCTGCTGTCGATGAAACGATTGAGCGCGTAAACCGTTGGCTGCCCCATTGGTTTGACGGCAACAGTGCGACCATTAGCGCATTGGTGTCGGCGAAGAATGAAGCATTTCTTGCACATAAGGATGACTCACCGACTCCGAGACGGAGCCAGTTTCGCAAAATTCGACGGCAACTGACTCGAGAGCTCCATCGCATCAAGAATGAATGTTGGACGGAGAAGGCGAAGCAGACGGATTGCCATGCCGAACGCAGCTAAAATACGTAATTCTTTGGCTCCTTGAAGGCGGTGAATGGACAAACGTTGCACCCGATGAAGACGCTGCTCGACCTTAGTTCAGGCTCTGACTGTATACAGACTGTAGACGTAATGCAAATCGGGCGAATGCGGTTTGACTGTCTCTTGAACGACGGTTCAGAGAGTGACTGCACCGTGTTTCAGAGATTGCAACAGCAAGAGATGAAGATGTGTCTTGCCGACACACCGAGACCAGATGAGACGCATAGAGCACTTGCTCAACTGCGAGACGGCAAGTGCGCCGCAGCCGACGGAATCCTGTTTGACATATTGAGAGACGGCAAACCTGCGTTGATACATGCATTCCAACATTTGGTGCAATTGAATACTTGCATAGTGGTATACGGGCGAGGGTGCAGCTCTGTGGACAAACTTCGGTTGACTTTGCAGTTGTGCCTGATGTGAAGCAAGGCTGTGTCTTGGTCACTGCCCTATTAATATTAAACTTCATGTAATGACATTTCGTACTTTTGATGTTGTTTGTGATTACGGTGTCCGTGTGAGCACCGCGGTAATGTTGGGTTGCTGAACCTCCGTCGTTTCGGGGCGAGAACCTGAGCGTGTGAGACAAGCATCTGTATGTTACTGTTTGCTGACGACTGTGCGTTGTATGAGCACAGCGCGGATGAGTTGCAGCACATGACGATGGCTATCGCTTCGACAGCGGCCAAGTTCGGGCTCATCATCAAGAAGCAAGACTATTTGTCCTTTTCAACCTACACCAGAAATAGGATCTGTATGTCTGCCGGGAATCCACATCGATGATGACGTCACGGAGTCACTTCGAGATTTCGCACCTGGGTACTGCACTTTCGACCGATCTGCAGATGATGAGCGAGCTACGTGTCAGTGTAACAAAAGCGGCTGTTGGGTTTGGCAAGTCGGAGAAACGTGTACAGAACAACCACCAGATTAGCGTTGGAAGGAAGCCGCTGGTATACAAGTCGATGGTGCTGTCCGTCCTCCCAAAAGGAAGCGAAACGTGGACGATGTACTGGATAGACGTCAGATCCCTTAAGTGATTTCATCAATAGTGTCTGCGACGGATTCTGTGCATCGGCTGGTGCGACAGTGTTGCAGACACGGAAGCGCTGCGCCGCAATAGCATGTATGCAGTGGACTGCATACTTCTGTTTGGGAATGTGAGGTGGCTCAGACATACCGATCGAATGAAGTCGATGACGATACTTAAACAGCTTTTGTACGGCCAACTGAGTGCAGGGAAGCGGCAGGCTGGCCAACCGAAGTTACGTTACTACGATATGATCAAGGTGAGTTTATCACGAACTAATGTTGATTGCAGGCATTGGGAGTCAAAGGCAGTTGATCGGCGCGAATAGCGTGGGCTAATCAAGAGAGCGGTTGCCCAGGTGTAGGAGAAAGCACTATTGCACGCGGAGAAGGAACACCGGGTACGGAAGCGACAGCTGCTGATGGGTTCCAGGCCATTGACATAGAGCGCATGGTAGTGTAACACATGTGTGCACGTGCGCCTGAGCCAAGCGAGTTTGGTAAACTACCAGCGTAGAAACGTGGGGCCAACCTCCAAAAGACGACATGCTAACTGAGTTTCTAAGCATAATCAACGCAGCGATTGGTAGGAGCGCTGCGTCCACAAGCGGCTGATATGATACGTGTGACGTATCGTCGTTGCAGTTGGTCTGTACGTATGCCTGCATGTTAAGTTACTTGCATTTCAGGGGCTGGTTGTTGATTGATATCCCCGGTGTGGCTGCGCCTCGTATGATTGTTGACAAAGTGCCTACCTATATATTACCCACCACCTCGACTATACTGGCTTCAGGAGAGAGTTGGCCGTTGCTAGAGAGCACTGGGTGCAATGTCCTCGTGAGGATGCTAAGCTCAATGATTGGTTCCATGCATCCAGGGTAGAACGGGCTATGGCTCAACCTGCACCTTGTTTGTCTAGCACGCATGATTTTCGAATTTGATAGACAGTAATGCTGCTGCTTGGCAGGTTGAACGTATGTTGGTCGGCTCTGTTGATGAAATGTGGTTACTATTGACAAGCCTCCCCGGCCTTGTTTCTTCGGGTTTACACTGGATATGGGGTGTGTGGATGGAGCTATGGAGCTAGCCATGAGACCACTGTAGGTGTAAGCGTCCTGTGGCTGTTTTATGGGGGCCGCAGTGACAGACAAATCCGATATCGGATGCCGCCAACCATGTTAAACACCTGCGACCAAGAGCAGCTGCAGATGGGAGTTGGCGGGTTTGCACCAATTTGACCAGGGTCTGCATGGTATGAGACGAGGGGGTAGCAAACCATTGAGCAACAGAAGGTGCCTTCTCGCTGTCAGGGAAGATGCATGGCGCTCGTGCTCTACACCAATCGAGCTGTGAGCTTATAAACTGTAGACCTGTTGTCTGCAATGGCCAGGTTTTAAAGGAAGAGGGGCATTAACCTCTCGCTAACCCCCCAAGAGGATTAAATCATGAGAGTGAGTTAGTGTGACCCCTAAACATTGACCTGTATGGTATGAGTGGTCTTGAAGGCACTTGGAAAATGTCACCCAGCGTAATTCAGTGGGTCATGGAGGTAGATAAGCCATTACAACACGTTAAGGTCTAGTGTCGCTGCGATAGTAAGAGAAGAAACTTAATGACCAGAGGTATTATGTGTTACAACTTCTGGAAACTGGTGGAGTGTGGTGGAGTGGTTCGCTACAATGGAAAGACCAGATCGGAAACCTCAAAAATCAGTGAGACAGATGTCGCAACTTACTATTGAGAATTCGTGGTCAAGGATGATTCATTAGATGCGTCGAAAACGGATTTCTGCGGACGAGGCATAACTGCTCGATTGACAACTTGGTGTGTAGTTAAGATGGTTCCCCCGGTTTTTAAGTCAGATGGTTTGTTAAACCAATGACGAAAACAAATACAAGTTGATAAGTGTGATGGTAGGTAACAGGTTACGCCAGCGAAACTGACGCGAGGCCAGTGGACTGAGAAGCCAACCAACGCCGTGAGCGCAGATTGACCATGCCTATACGAGTTGCGCAAATAATGAGGAATCGGAAGTCCGGAATGCTTTCGGTCCCAAACGAGTTGTTTAAATGTGACACTGAACCAGAACTGACGGTGTACTGAGGGATGGCAGGTAGTTGACCCAGCAAACGACACAGACGGAGACGACAGGTGGCAAGCCTATCAGTATCACGGGCCCAGAATTGGGTTGGTGTACTGTGAACAAATTGCAAGTTCGTTTTAGTTAATATGGGAGCGGCCCAAACATCTGTAAAGGAGCGATGAGTGTGAGCCAATGGATTAAAGCAAATGATTAGCAAGTATCAAACAGTGAAAGGGAGTTTCGGTGAAATAGTGATTCAGTGTTTACTAGTAACCAATTTCTGATCGTTGCCCATTTTTCATTTAGATTCTCGGAGGGCTACTTTAAACAGCAGTCCCTGAGCATGACTACCGAGTAGCGAGAAAGCAAGCCAACTGAGTCACGTTTGCAACTGAATGGCGTGGAGAGTAAATCAGTCGTTCCTAGAAAACTGCATTTGTCACATAAGGGGCGAAAAGTGCTGGAAAGACAGTCATGCTTGCGCTACAGAAAAAAGACAACAGGTGACAGAATGCATCAGTGCATAGCTGAACAGTGGAACAATCGTGTACTGTGGGTAAAAAGCTCAAGCCTGACAGATCCTCGTAGTGAGAATATCAAGTTCAAGAAAAATGCTGTCAACAAGAATATCGCGAATCTGCGGACTCCCATGGTATTCACGTAAACATCTGCGTAAATTCGCCTGTCTCGATTGCATGAAGGGGATTCGTGAGCGCAGTTTAGTGTAATGAACATAGATTGCACCATACAAAGTAACTGGTCTATTTCATCGTCAATTCCTTTCTTTAGATACGGGCAAGGTGTGCACAGAAAGTAGATAAGAGAAATGAAAAGTTGAAAAATTCGGAGAGGTGTGCCAGCTAGCGAGTCCGATTTCAGCTGGTGGACTTCAAGACGGTACTATAAATAAATAAATAAATAAATAAATTTGTATATTTACCGACGGACGGTACACGGCCCCATAAGTGGGAGCGATCATGTGTATAGTGAACACGTTTCATAACATTAAATAAAAGTTTACTAATAGCATTTCGGATCATGATTACTTTTCCTTGAGTCCTAGACCCGCGCAACTCATATGTAAAATTTACGGATGTTTGTATCGTCAGGAGTAGATAATAAACGAAGGGACTATTAGGCTGCAAGGACACAGGATTTGGTATGGTATGTAATGACATGTAGTGGGTAAGCTAGCTGTAAGCTATTATCAAATGCTTTTTATACCAACTTCTGTCAGTGTTTCTAGTGTTTGCTGTGAGTCAAATATCTTCAGAGCATTTGGTATAGTGAGGAAGGTCTGAAGGAGATTTCGAAAGGTGACATGGCTTGTACACATGCGTATCTGTAGGGGTAGTTTGTTCCACAAATAAGTGTATCTCACTAAGAAGAAATTCGATCGAATTTTATGACTTGAAAGGTTTGTACGTATCAAGTAGCCGCCATTACGTGTGGGGTAGACTGCAGTCTTCCGCAGTTCAAGTGCGGTGCTGTCTGCGTAAATTCGTTGGTTTATAATGTTGTAGAAGAGAACGAGGTTGTTTTTTAAGCGTCTCAGCCAAAGTGGATCCAGCTGCAGTTTTCGACAGCGATCATAATAAGTCAGGTTTGAGCAGCGTCCCATGAGCAGTTTGGTAAATGATCGTTGGACATTTTCTAGAGCCGTTCTGTCTTTCTTTCTCAATTGGCTGTGAAGGATAGTACAATACTCCAGAGTCGGTCGTACGATTGTCTTGAATGATTCAATTCGTACTTCAGGTAGGGAGAAAGTTCTGGTGATATATCCGCATAGCTGCCTCGCTTTCGCAACCTGATAAAGAACATGTTCGGAGAAATTGAAAGAGTTGGAGTACCTAATTCCTAAGTCCCGAACTGACTCAGACGTTGGGATCACGTTTCCGGCAAGTATAATGGAGCCTTCTGGGATGCGGCATCTGTACCCAAGTACTTGGGATTTCACTGCGGAGAACTTCATTAATAAGCGCTCACTAGCTATATTTAGTGCGGATAGGTCTTCACAGATGTTTCTCAAACACATATGTAGTTGGTCCGGATGAAATGAGTAAACCAGTTTGACATCATCTGCAAACAGAAATGGATGTCTATGTTTGATTGGGTCACATATATTGTTTACATAGATTAAGAAAAGTAGCGGTCCGAGCACACTTCCCTGGAAGACACCGCTGGTTATTGGCTTCGGTGTAGAATGTTGCTGACCGATTTTAACGACCTGAGTTCGACCGTTTAGGTATGAGTCGAACCAGTTAAGCAGCGGATTTCCAATTCCATATGACTCTAGAGCAGACAGCAGTGGCTGGTGTGGCACGCGGGCGAAAGCCTTTTGCATGTCCAACAGAATTATGATAATTGCCATTCCTCTGTCAATCATAGTCGTGATGTGATCGAGAAATTGTAGCTGGCATGTAACGCAGGAGCGTCTTGAGAGAAAGCCGTGCTGTGAAGGGTTGATCAGATCCAGTCTTGTTAGATATTGGACGATGTTCTTCTTGACTATTCGCTCTAGGGCTTTGGAAGCAGCAGAGGTGTGATTTATTGGGCGGTAGCTTGACATTTGATTTCTCGGTCCACCCTTGTGCTTAGGCATTATAATGGATTGCTTCCATTGAGCTGGAAAGCAACCGGTATTGAGTGAAAGTGTGAAAACGTTTAGTAACAATAGTGCGAGGTTTTTTCCTCCGAGTTTTATAACAGTTGGGGAAATGCCATCTGGACCTGGATGAGTTGATGGTTTTATGGCTGCGATGGCACTTTGCACCTCTCTTAACGTCACAGGGATATTGCAGTAGAGTTCGGTCGTTCTTTTTGGAAGTGGAGGATGAAATGGCTGAATGTTGGGGACAAAAGAGGAGGCAAAACTAGAGTTCATGGCCTCGCATATACAGGAGATATCGCGTGTTATTGAACCATCGTCTAGAACCAACGTTTCAATTTCCTGAAGTGGTTTAGGGCTTCTTCTTTTGAGTAGCTACATCAATGCACGTACTTTCTCAGGATTTCTGAGTACCCGGCTTTCTTCTTTGGTTTTGACAGTTAGGGTTAGACGTTGTAAATATAGTAAGTTCTCGTGTATTTGTAGCAATGTTGCGAAGCTGTTGTTCCTGCTGTATAGCGATTTGAGTTTCTTTAGTTTTATTTTGGCTTTGGACAGAAGCTTGAGTTCACCCCTATGTTCATGGGTATTTCTAATTACTGTAGGTGCTAGTAGATCCATAACAAGGGAAATGTTGTTTATAAACTCATTTGTAGCCACAGTAGGGTTGTGGGTTAGGAATGACGTATTTCAATTCATGGTACCGATAAGTTCATTAAATGCGTTCCAGTCCACACGATGGAGGTTACGAATGGGTTTTAGCATTTTACTTGGTCGTTTAGGTAAATCAATAGTCATATCACAAAACACCGCGTTGTGATCACAGCCAGGCAGTGGATTATCAATGAATGTATAAACGTTCGCGATTCCCATCGTGAATACAAGGTCTAAGGTAGTAGCACTTCTAGTTGGCTCTCTAACATGCTGAGTCCAGCCATTGAAGTGGATACATGCGATAATTTCCTCAATCTCTGCCGTGTTTCTGAGTGTAGGCAGCGTCCAGTTAACATGTGGTAGGTTGGAATCTCCACACATAATTTTGGAAAGAATTCGGCAGGGGAGGCAGATGCCACTGAGGCACTTCGGAATGCAACGTTTAACTGTGAGGTTCATCCGCTGATGCCGATACAATTCGCGAAACATTTCTAGGGTCCTAAGTCTAGATGGATATGTGAGATGGAATAAGCTAAAAACATTCTTAGTTGCCCTTCGTAATGAGGTTCCGAGTGCAATGAGAACATGCTTCGGTCCCCGCTGCCAGGCTTGGATAGTATACACCGAATGGGGCCCCACGTAAACGCTGAGCATTTCCGGGAAGACAGAAGAGTCGAACCATCCAAACACCTTACGTAAGATAGAGACGTAAAGGCTTTAGCTATTCAACATCTTTACAGGTTGTTTCGAGCAGATGCAATCAATCTGGACGACAATCCCATAGTCACGATCTTGGAAGATTCTTTGCTAGGTGTGTCTTCCACGCATACCTACACTATCCGATTGAAGAATCATGCGGATGGCCCCGTACTAATCCATCTTCGGCGAGGGTTGACTCCTCCTAAGACACACGAAGTCAATCTCTAGGTGGCAATCCATCATCGTCGTTGACAAAAGCAATTCAAAGTGGTTACACCAGTAAGGCGACAAATGGAATCTAGGAATAGGTGCGGTCTTCACACTGAGCACATTATTTCACCTAAATCGGATCAAGTAATGAGCCCCGAACCAACATCTGCAATCGGCGGTGCGATAAGAGGAAAATCGACGATAGCATCTAGTGATGAATCAAAGGAGCATAGGAAATATGGCGCCGGAATCCTTGCAACTCACCGGTGCATAATGTGCAATTCTTGCCACAGATACATCAGACCCTGTACTACGGAGCTCGCGATGTGGATAATCACGGGTTCTGGGAAGCGACCGACTATCGGTAGAAGAGTGTCTAAGCCACCGGCATCCATGTACTCCATGCAAATGCTGATGGTATCGTCCACATAGAAGGCACCGTAGAAGTCCAGCACGAATGGGGATGAGCATTCCCATAAAATCTGAAACAAAAGTGAATGGAATCAAACCTTGAGGTTGTAGGGACACAATTCAAGTGATGGATTCAAAGGTGAATGATACGGCCTTGATGAATACGAAGAAACTCTGCATCTCGACCACTTTGGTCCAGTTGCTTGGGCTATCAACCTACGAAGGTTGGACTGCATATATAATCCTTGTAACATTCCTATGGGTGGTATGCTTGCAGAGTCGGCAATTAGACACGTATGCTCTATCAAAAAGGGCACAATCACCAAATCAGTGGCGTTGTAGCATTTATTTCTTTATTTCTGGTTCATAGTTACGCTAACGTTTTATTTTGTTTATAAAGCAGCCCTCGTTAGCATTATTGATAATGGCCGTAATATTACTATTTTTTATTCCAATGAAAGGTGACTGCCGAATTTATTTGGGACGTTTACTGAACTAAAGCCTCTTGATTTGCCCGCTTCCAGTGCTTTCTATGCTTGTTGAACGGCTTGATTGGAATATATCGTACCATCCTGTGCCATGTGATGGCAACCAATGACGAGGCAAAAAGGGACTTGTTGACGTTAACACCCGAAGTTAACAAGTGAAACCTTCAACTCATCCGTCTGATTGTTACAGCTTGCTTGCTTGACTCTTTTGTCGCCGTGATTTCTATGGCGTTTCTCATGACCCTGCTTGCAACACTAGGTGTTAGGAAAGAAATCTCTGGGCAAGCAGCCGACGCGCCTATGGCCCATACGGAGCCAAAGACCAGCCAGTGAGCCGAAATGCGCTCGCATGGATTGGACGAATACGTGGCCAACTGGATGAACCGGCCAATTAGCATGACAGAGGTATTGCATGATGGGTCGGAAGTTGATTCTACCAGATGTTTCCGCGTGTGCTTCATAAACTGTTCATGAAAGTTCCAGTTGACCTTTATATTGGACGATGTGATCAGACATTACACCTCGCTTTCTCTCTGCTCGTCCACTATCGGTCGTATCTCATTCCAGTGGGGGCCAACGGTCTTGAGTTCCGAACGCTAGTCAACCGTCAATTCAGGAGAGGGACGACCACATCACTACGTTTTTTTGTAATGTCGAACAGGAATAATGTGAGTCGGAGCACACTGAAGTGGATATATTGGCAGCAATTAAAGATCAAATGCAATTCTATCTTAAAAAGACGGTGTACCGGAAAACCAACAGGGAAATCAGTATCCGGTTGGGGAGGGGGAATTCCATATAAAAGGCACGAGGCAACATGATCCGGTGCTCTATACTCGGAATCAAGGTTAAGCAGTTACCTGAAGATCTCGAAGAATTTGGGCACGAACCGAAGTCTTGATATCAAACTCAAACGTCTTTCGAGACATGAGGAACCCGGTGGATTTGTGTTGTGTCTTCGACACCACGCCCCCATTGCCTCGTCCAAGCTCTGAAATCCAAATGATGTCATCGGCAGAAAATTCTGGCCCAAAGCGGTGTCGAGCGGATCCACCCAATCCACATAGTTGGACATTGTTCAGAGAGCGGCGGGTGCTAATCTGCGGCGATTTGGATGACATTGAGCCCAGCAACCGAATTGACAAGTTTGTTGAATGACGTGGTAAATCAAAGAGTGGAGCTGCGATTGGGTCGAAGCAACAAGGGGTACGGAAATGAAGGGTATCGCGAGGTAGAAAAACTATGCAAATCAACAAAACAATGTTAGTCGAGAATTATTATTGGGCTAGTTGGCTGAAAGTACATGCAAAAAATAAGGTTCCCACAGGCTGACCATGACTGTGTGCTGAATGCCGAGCTAGTTTAGGTGGGAACAAGAGTGCCAAAGTGACCACAATAGTGGTGCAACCACCATGTGTGAGGTTTGTTGGTCATGATATGCATGTTCTAATCTACGTCATAGCAACTGGTCTGCTTGTCAAGCACGATAAGTTATTTGTTTCTGCACCAATCGAAGAGACGTCACTAGGTGAATGCAAAAATAGATACATTCCGATGCCAATCCTATGGGTGACGACCCGAATGCAAAAAAAGCCGACATCGGAGAACATTTTGATAAGCGAACAGCCTACGCGAGCGAGTTGTGTTTTGGGTTACCTTAATTTGCAACTGCGAGGTTGTCGCGATATTCAATACGGCATCGGTGTAAAACAGCACCATGCAGAGAAAAGGTTTTAGTTCATGTGGGACCGGTCTGAATGTGACATATTGCGATAAATCTTAGATAGCAGAAGTGTTAGTCTAATGTAGGGGGACATTTAAAATCGTAGTTGAATACAGGCAGAGTAGGTCTGAGTTACATCTTCGAGCTATTCACAGCAACAAATAGTCGGGCAGCGATTGAACTGTGTTTAACAATTCGGTTGCAGATATTTCTTTAAAGTCGGGGTGACATCATCAGTGTGCTGTTGAGTATCGCGTAGTAGCAAAGCGCAGAATGGCCTTAGCAACAACTCCGGTTTCGTAGACGCAGCGAAATTCAGCGTCAAGAGCGTCCAATGTCATTTTAAATGCGGCTAATTGCGTTATGCGCTTCCTGACAAGAACAAAGCAAATGAAATAATGAAACATGGCCTGATAGCAAGAGGCTAGTGGTCACTGCGGTAACACAGACGCAGATGGAAAGGATTCAGTAACACTGCAGCGGTTACCGAATGTTCTGAGAGGTAGTAGGAGGAAGGGAAGCACCAAGATCATCAGAGATTTAAGGGAAAGATATAAGGAGTAGAAATGCACTGGTTGGGCACATTTTGCGCAGCCGCCATACTGTACATCGTTGAAAGTATACATGGCTGGCGGCATCCGGTGTCAAATAGGCACGTCACTGCGGTCTCCATAAGACAGCTACAGCACACCTGCGCCAAAAGAGGGGCCATGTGTGACTTGCGCTGCACCGGCCGCAAGCATCCAACATCACATTTCCAGTGCAAACCCGAAGAAGTAAGATCGGCGCATATGTGGATGGGGGCCACATTTGATCAATGTAGCCGGCCCACACGCCTTCAACATACAAAGCAGTAACATTCCTGTCGATGTAGTAGGGGAAAGATGCGTAACAGATGCACAAGACGGTGGCCGGGAGGTATCCTGTTGTTCCACAATGGATAGAACTACTCTTTGAGTCTAGCATGGCCACGAAGACCGTGCACCCTGTCGTCCCAAAGCAATGATTAGCAATCTCGTGGAGCAAGTAATAAATGTGGAGGATAACAGACAGGCAGTCACCTTGTCAGCATTCAAATCAAGCGCAGCCACACAGGGGATATCAACCAAGAGCCAACATCGGAAATTAAAGAAACGCAACACGTGCACAGTTCAACTGCAGCAATGGTCGACCACATGTGCCACATCAAACGCATTATTGTTATGGGTTAGTAAATGGAATCGGATCGGAAGCAGCGTACACACGAAGCGCAACCTTGATGATGATCACATCTTCAGCTAATTAGTGTTCTCTTAAATGCTTGCCACGTGTGGACACGCTGGTGGTTATCAGGAGAGCTTGGCTGAAGCACTCACGATCACTTGTGTCACAGCATCATTCGCTTAACGCCGATGGGGCAGATTCCATCGGCGCCCGTTTCTTCTGTAGAGACGTTACTTCTCCGCAAGCAGCAGTGGCTTTTCATGTACTCTTGATATGCATTCGTCATCGTAGCCGACCCACTGTTTAACAACACATGAAATAAACACTAATTCGCGATAAACTCGTCTTGATCATGTCATTGTGACCTATCATCGTTTTCCCCACCAAGTTGTCCGTACAGCATTTGTGTCGATATCCGAGTCGAATCCGCGTGGCGGACATGACCCGCGATCTCACGTGCCGCAGTAGATGTACACAGTCCATCGCTTACATGTCACCGCGGCGCAACGTTTCCGTGTCTGCAACACTGTCGCACCAATCGATGCGCAGAAGCCGTCGCAGACATTTTTGATAAAATCACTTAGAGTATCTGACATCTATCCATTACATCGTCAACGTTTCGCTGCCGTTTAGAAGTACGGAGAGCACCATCGACTTGTATAACATTAGCTTCGATCTAGTGGTAAGTTGATGATTCCACACACGATTCTCCAGCTTTCCTAATGAAACGGTTGCCGTCGATACGCGGATGCGCAGATCGCTCGTCATTTGCAGGTCGGTAGATATTAAGCTGGTTAGACAGCAAAATTTCGATGTTGTCTCCACCTCGTTATCAGCAACCTGGATTTGAGGCGGGCCCCCAGACTTCGTTACCGGTGATGGCTAGAAAAGACAGTCTTGTTTGTGTTTATGGTTAGCTTGAATTTGACCGCTGTCGAAGCAAGAGCACTAGTCATGTGCTGTAACTCATACGAGCTGTGCGCAAACAACGCACAGTCGTCAGTAAATAGTAACATACCGATGGTTGTCTAACACCCGGGTTCTCGCCCCAAAACGACGGATGTACAGCAACCTATTTTCAATACGGTACTCCACACGAGCACCGTAAGCACAAACAGCATTAATAGCATGCGATGTCATTGCATGTAGATAGTAAACAGGGAAGAGATTAAGATACAGCCTGGCTACAAATCAGACACAACAATAAATCCATCCGAGGTTTGTCCACAGAGCTGCACCCTTGTGTGCATACCACTGTGCAGAGGTGTAATTATATTTACAAACTTACTCGGACAACCAAACTTACCCAATACTAGCCACAATACCTCGCGGTTCACCGTATCCAAGGCCTTGGTGAAGTCTACAAATAGCGAGTACAATCGCTGGTGTCGCTCTCTGCATTTCTCCTGCAGCTGACGAGCCGCGAATACCATATATATGATGCCCGGCCCGAGCGAAATCCACATTGATCTTCTGTCACCTGCGACTCAGCGACCTGAGTTGCAAGGCGGTTGTCGGTTTCCAGCAATCGCTTTCACCACACAACTCAGCAAGTTGATACCACGATGATTCGTGCAACATTGGTTGCTACCTTTACCCTCGTACAGAGGTAGCACAAGAGCATAATTTAGGTCGGCCGGCACTTCCTCTTCAATCCACAAGCGTCGCACCAAGTGGTGATCCACCGTGTTCCAACACTTCACGCGGGATTCCGTAGGTTGTGTGGCACTTGCCGTTTCGCAGTTGAGCAAGTGCTCTCTGCATCTCATCCAGTGTAGGTGTGTTGAAAAGACACCATCTCGTGTTGTTGTTGCAGCCCGTGCAACGTACGTCAGCCAACCTTGGAAAGGTGGTTCAAGAGACAGTCTGACAGGTGGGCGAGAAAGCTGATTGCTAACGCGCGTGTGTTCGCCACAAAGCGTGCTTGGGACAGACCCCGCGAACGTGTTGCCGTGGCCAAGCCAAAAGCTGATGAAATCACGCATCAGATACCATGCGTGTTGCCAAGGTCTGACCGGAATCTGATGAAATCACGCGTCGGACATCATGTACGTTGCCATGCCCCGGGTACGCGTGCCCGAGCAAGATGGTGAACTGGCCAGACAGAGCGGATAGTCAAGTGTGGAGCGTGGGCGTACGAGGAAGACAGGTAGCCAAATTCGCCAGGCGGTGTTTAGAGGATTGGTGAGACCGACCTATAAATATGAGCGCTATCGGTTCTAATACAATTCTGGTCGGCTGAGTCTTCTTCTGTTTTCATTCCTGTCGGGTTGACCAAGACGTCAAGCAGAGCAGGCGTAAGGGCGCAGATTTACCAGCAGGCGTGAACCAACCGGTCGATTGCGGGTACAGCGTTATAACAACAATTGATACGAACAATTTTCCAAGTGGTTTGCCTTGAATTGAATGTCAACTTTACTTCCTCAAAGCAATTGTTCTGCTGCCATTCGCCTATTGTGTAGACGTCCCCTGAGAGTTATCCCCTGCGTCCAACACACCAAGTAGGGTGCGCCAGCACTGCTGTCAATGCTGTGCCCCATCCAGTCTATTTTTCCGAAGGTTGAATTCCTCCGAGGCAAGCAACTTAAGGCACAATTACGAGGCTGTTAGCACGCTTTCATTTAGTCCTTCATTCATTCATTGGCTGATAGTAATTTACAATTCCTGAATATTATCACCACATAAGCAACGCGCGTGCTCCTGAGTCATTTGGATTGTTCCTCCCTTCTATCTTCTTGCAGCTTTTTCACCGTACCTTCATTCGAACTGGATTCACCAACTCTACACAGTATTCATCATAAGTGGAAGTGTCTTTTTCACTGTCATCCTTGATTGAACATAAGCGGAAAACTCAATCACTGCACCGATAGTCCTTTCGTGCAACACCACTGGGAGCTGTGTTTCTGCTGACGGCCCAAGCAACAAAGAAGTTTCTCTTCGCATCGCTGAAGCTCGATCAGCATTTGCTAATCTGACGCACTTGTGGCGTCGTCGCGACGTCTCATTCTCGCTAAAGGAGCGCGTTTACAGCGCATTAGTTCGCTCAGTGTTGTTTTATGGGAGCGAATCCTGGCCGATTCGCGTGGTAGACAGGCGTCGTCTTTTTGCCTTCGATAACAGTTGCTTAAGGAGGATCGCTCGTGTTTGGTGGCAACATCAAGTTAATAGTAATGATGTTCGACGTCGCATCTTGGGGAATGCAAGTTTACCCTTTAACAAATTGGTTTTGTTGCGCCAGTTGAGATGGCTCGGTC